TTTGCAGTATCTTGAAATAGGATCCATAGTTCTTTTTTCTTTTCTCTAGCCTCTTCACAAATATTGTTCAGCAGGTGAATAGGCTCTGCTGTACTCTCTTTCTGTAATCCAACAAAGTTTAATCCTTTTAAGATTTATATTGCTTATAAATAGTTGATAGTTAGTTAGTAAGAATCTTAGTAAAGCATTTTTGAGCTGTTTCCAAGAGAACAATAGATCTTGTATTGTTCAGATCACATTTTCAAGGCTTGGATTTGGGAATGGGATAGATATTATTGTTTTTTCATTTCTTAAGTATTTGATCTATTCTTAAAACTTTATTAAAAAGAAGACATAAAGTTCCTTTTCCTTTAATTTATAAATGTTTGAGCATTTCATAGTTGATGTATAAGGGGCTAGCAGCCTTGTTTGGGAGAGATTGCAAAGTAGCTTCGAGCTCTTTTATTTTGATTTCTTCTGTTAAATATGAATACCATGTTGGGTCGATCCATTCTTTGAATTGATATTATTTTTTCTAGAAGGGATCTAAATTATTGAAGTTGACATTTCTCTTTTTGAATACTCTTTTGTGATATTCTTCAATTTTGTTTATGATAGTTTTAGGGTTAGTAGCAATGTATTCTTTCTCTTTCTGATTTGTGATTAGCATCCAATCTAATGTAATTCTTAGTTTTTTATGGTTTAAAACTGATCCCAGCATTTACTTCTGGTTGAATCTAAGATCATCACATCTATTATCCAGAGTCTCCTTAATTTGATTTTTAATATGAAGACTTTTTTTTTCTTGCATATCATTATAAGGATATGTTCTATTTTAGTGATTTTCCTTAATTGCTCTAGGATTTCTTCTTGTGACTGAGAAGGTGCTAGTTCTTCATCAAGGGATTCATAAGTGCCGTGTAGATTCTGAATGGCCTTCTCTATATTTTCTATATCTTCTGTAATCTTCATATTCCAGTTAACTTGGATTTTCTTAAAAAGAAAATGGATCTTATTGGCTTCTCTGTATGCTTTGAAATTCTTCTTTGGGATTACTGATCCCATCTTAACTTTTTTTCTTCTGCTAGAAGTAGAATAGATTCTTTTCTTCTTAAGGCACTTTTATGCACCCTTAATAATTATGGTTTCAAGTTCTTGTCAAGCCTTTTTGAGTTTTTAAGGATTGTCCTTAGTTTCATGCCAAGAGGTTTGTATATCAATTTCTGAAAGCTTACATTCTATCCAGAGTTTGAACTTCTCCTATTCTCTGCAGTAGAATTTGTTGGATCTGATATTTTTTTACCTTTTATTCTACATTGTTCTTGAACCTGATTTTTGAGCAGATTATTTGTTGTCATTTTTATTAACAAAAGGGTATGGACACTACCCAGTAGTGCCTTTACTAGAATATTTTTGAATTCATATATATTATTTAAACTGATTTTTGGTGATATCCAGATATAGTCTATTCTATTATATACTAAGTTGTTTGCCCATATAAATGTAATATTTTCTTCTTCTTCTCAGGAGTTTTGGATATCTATATAGTTCCAGTCTTCTAGGAAGTTGAAAAAACCTATCTTAGCTTTTCTATATATTGAAGTTTTTTTATTAGTGGACAGGGATCAATCTATTATTAGATTGATAACTACATTAAAATCAGCTATGATTATAACTTTAAAGTGATTCTTTTGCTTATCTAAGATTCTATTTTGAAGCAACTGTTGTAGTTATCTACTTTCAGCTTTCCCAGATGGCAGATATACTTGATAGATATAGAGTTTGCTTCTTGCTGATAGAAAGTTAACACCTATTATATAGCTTTCTATTCTCTCAATTGATTCTAGCTTTTTTTTTGATATTTTTGTTGATAAGAAATCCCACTTTAGACCCTCTAGGTCTTTTATTATTACAGCTATAGAAGAACTTATATATTTGTTATAAGTTAAAAGTGAAATTTGCTGTTTTGTCTATTAGTTTAGTTTCACAAATCTCCAGAATATCTATATCAAGTTCTTGTATAAGTTTATATAGTCTTTGTTAATCAAGACTAGTATTGATACCTCTAACATTATGTAATAGTATTGTTTAATATGGAGTTGTCTATAGTATAGTTATTATATAATGTTCATTCTTTTTCTATTTTTCCAATAGTGTTCTTTTTAATTGTACCAATAAAGTTGTTAACTAGTGTAATATGTATTGTATTGGAGAAGGTTATATTAATATCTGCTATTGTCTTAGTAGTTGTATCTTTTTTTTCGGATGAGCTTGATTTCTCTTGTGAATCAAATTCTCTTCCAATATATCTTGATTGAACTGGTGCTACTTTTAGGAACAGTTGCTCTATTACCTCCCTCTTATCCTATTCTGATTGCCTATATTTTTCTTAATTAAATTTATTCTATTGTTCAATTACTTGAGATTATCCAAGATCTGATAAATTGGATCTTAGTCACTTTCACTTTTAGGATAGGGGCTTTCAGATTTGTTATATATTCTTTGTCTATTGTGATAATTAACAGGTTCTCTGTTACTACCAGGAGCAAAACATTTAGGAGTCTTTGTTTTGTTGCCAATAAGCTTATTGCCTTGAAGATTGCTTCTTTTTTTTCTTCTATCAAGATGTGTTTTTTACTTGATCTCAATTTCTGATTCATTCTCCAGTGTTGTATACCAGTTGGACCTTATATTGTTTCTAATATCAATTTGACCCATTTTTATACTATCAGTTTGTTGTTTATTTAACTTTGTAAATTTAGTATCAGATTCTTTAGCTTCATTGAAATCCTATCTTTTTTGTGAACACTTTTGTTCTTGATTAAAGTATTCTTTTATATTTCATATAAGTTTATATCCATAAATATAAATATAATGTTTTAAGGTATTGTTAAGATCTTATACTGTTGAGAAGCAAATTACAACATAGCCTCTTCATTTGAGTGTATGAGGATTTCTAGGAATGTAGCATACTTTAGCCTTGATATATTTGACTACCCTCGCAATTAGTCCAGTAGTATTATTATATACTCTATATAGTCACAAAATTGTATATTGTGTCATTTAATAATTTTGTTGATTTTTTTATTATCAAATTCATTTTGAGAAAAGATGGCTCTAATTGTTTCTCTCTGGTGTGGATCATCTATTTTTCCTCAAGATTAGTATATTATTTATGAGAAATGATATGTACCTTGATTCTATATTATAACTGTAAGTAGTTGTAAATATAGATGTTTGTTATTTGTCTATATTGATTAAGAACTGCCTTGATTTTTTGATATGAATAATTATGGTTAATATTATTAAGTTAACCACCAGTAATATTTATTTTTCTTCTTGTGTTTTCTAAAATACTTTTTTATTTGGTGGTTAGCTGAGGCTTAACCATTTATCTATTTCTAGAGGTATTATGGTAAAATTGTCTTTTTTCTTTCTATTGATTTTTTCAAAACATCTTAATATGTCTTCTTTCTTTTCACAGCAGAATATTGTCCAGATATTGACATTGATAAATTCTTTTATAAAGGGGTAAGAGTCTTTTGGTAGGCTTAATATATTTTGGAGATATGCTATTTGTTCTGTTTTAGTCTCTTCTAGAAGTTTTGAGATAAATACATCCATTTTGAAATCTCTATTTCCTTGATGTGATATGGATTAATACTGGATATTTTTCTATTTCTTGTTTTATATGTTTGCTGTTCAGCAATATTATTCCCTCTAATTTTTTCATCGATGACTTCCATTTCAATTTTGTCTTCTAGTTCTTTGTCTTCCATTTTGATTTCATTAACAATTAAGATTTCAATTAATATGGTTACTTGAACTTCTATGGCCATTGCCTTATCAGATGAGTTATTAATAAGAAAATTACTTTTAATTATTAACTGATTTGTTAGCAATGGTTGTAAGATGTATTATATTTGTTCTGACTATTCTATAATATCCAGATATTTGTCTTCTAAAAAAGGAGCTAGAAGATCTTCTTCTTTTCTTTGTTTTATGATCCATAAGTAAAGAATATATTGTCTAAGAATATTAGATTTGATGAAAGTAGTGTGATCAATATTTAGAATTCTAGCAATAATACTATCAATAATTGAGTATCTAGTTGGACCTGGGATTGGATTTGTGATAATTTCTTGAGTTGAAGTAATATTTAAGAAGGTTTATGAGGCCCATAACTTTCTTTGTTAATCATATTTGTCCATTAGTTGGATTAAAGTTTCAATAATATATGCTTCTTTTTTCTCAGTAACCTGAAAGAGTTTGTGTTTTTTCATAGACATGTCAATTACGTGATATGAAGAGTAGATTGCTATATATGATATTGATATATTTTATTAAATATTATTTTAAGTAGTGTTGAGTTATGTAATAATTGTTCTTTGCTTATTTGAGTAGTACTTGTTTGTTTGTTTATTTGTTTTGTTTATGTAAACAAACTGTTGATTTATTGATTGTAAGTTGTATTACTATTTTAGATCTATTGTGTTTTAATGGCTACTATTATATGTAAGTATAGAATATAAATACATAAACAAGGTGTTGATCCTTGGATTGTAAGCTGTGTTACTATTTTTAGATCTATTGTTATTGTTGATAGCTTCTATTACATGTAAGTATGAAATGTAAATACATAAACAAGGTATTGATCTGTTGATTGTAAGCTATGTTACTATTTTTAGATCTGTTGTATTATTGATAACTACTATTATGTGTAAATATGATATGAAAATATGTAAACAGGTTGTTTATTAGACATGTAAGTGAGTTGCTATTCAAACTGGCAAATGTGATGTGTTCAAATTATGCGATCCAAAATAGGGAATATTGTTGTGTTGTTTATGTCACTTTCTACTGTTGAGTAATTAAGGCTTGGACATCCTTGTAAGTGTTGTAAGCTTTGAGCTTTAGTTTATTTATTGACTGAAGTTATTGTCTATAGTGCTTCTCTTAGTATCAAGAAAGATGTTAACCTGCACTGGCCTGGCTGAGAGCTTTGTGAAGTTGAGGTTGAACCTCCAGAAGCTTATTGTAAATCAGTTTTCTTGGGATTTTCTTTTCTCTATGAAGAAAAACTATACTGTGATAGTTTTTCTCTAATACTTATCCTGTAATTGTTATTACAAAGAAGTATAATAGTTTTAAAGCTTGGTGGCAAGCTGTTGTTGTTTTTAGATTATATGTTTTTTAAATATTGGAGGCTGGCTTCTTGGTTTCCAAAAATATTACCAAAAAAGAAAATTTTTAAGAAAACTGGGGATCAGCGAAAAGAGTTTTTTAATAATATTTATATATATTAGTTGATTTATCAAATTATAAAATATATAAACTTTTTTTACTAATTTTTTAACTATATATAAAAGAGATATTTACAAAAATTTTATATTTTTATATTAATAAAGTTTTATTACTTTTTTTAAAACAATTTAAAGAATAATTTCAAAAGTTTTTTTTATTTTTTTTCTTTTATTTATATTTCTTTTCAAAAAATTTTTTTTGATTTCTAATAATTAAAAAAAATTCCAAAATATTTTTTTTACTTATAATATTTTCTAAAGTAAAAGATATATATAAAGAACTTTTAGACCTATGGGTTTATAGTGCAGTGGTTAGCACTCCATAGGTCAGATCACAAGATACGAGTTCAAATTCCAGCTTGAACTCATCCATTGGCTTAACCATATATATCCGATATTTCTGAATATAGCTACTGATAATCAGGGAGGAAACCTGTTAATCAAGTAGACAATCTATATGAAGATTGTAATTGGTTCAATCTCTGAAGTCAAGCTAGGACTATTTTGAATTGGTAATATTGCCTCAAGGCAATAAGAAGAGCAGATCCAATCGACCAGTAGAGTATCTTTGAAGAAGCTGTAAGTACTGAACAGTGAAAGAGGTGACTTTATTTTAACTATCGGGAGGCCTTAATAAAAAGAAAAACCCGCGGATCACTTTGAAGAACC